TGGTTTTCTAGTCCAGATTCTTGACAAATGGTTTCATAATGCGTGGCCTGAATTCCCTGTCACATGTTCAGCCTACGCCCACACCTTTTCCCCACTCTGCCCCTCTTGAGATTAGACAGAAATCCTTCCCTGGCTTCCAGCTGCCTGTGCCTCCCTGGAGGTGGAAATGGCTCATCAGGAGTCGGGTTCCAAAGCCAGGCTGACACTCGTGGCTGAGCCATGTCTAATACTGAGCAGGCTGGAACCAATGGTCCCTGCCACATGTGCCATTATGTGAGTATGCCGCAGGCAGTCGGCCTCCTCCGAAGCAAGGGTCTGTTCAGTAGTCCCAGCAGCCAGCTGTCTGTCCCGGTTCACTTGGGTCCTGCAGTGCTCTACAGATAGGCCGTGTTTTTCATCTTTAAGCAGACTGGGCTCAAGTCAGTGTGGAAATGGAGCCACACCACAAATGAATCTGGGTGAGGGGCTCCAGTGCCTGTGATGTCTCAGCCCTAATGCGTGCCTGCCCTTTGGGACTAAGCGGTAATGGCCCACCATGAAACCATTCTGTGGTCATTCATTTCAGACATTTAATCGTTTTGCAGGATCCACATTGCACTGAGCTGGCAAGCCCAGAACAACCAGATAGTCCGTGTGCTGCTGGACAGCCAGTAGAGAGTCACACGGTACTCATCCATGCCTGGGAATTCCTGGACAGAAGTTGTCCATTCCGTTTGGAGTTCCTCTAACTACTGAAGGATTCCTGCATGCTTTGGGCTGGTGAGTATCCTCGCCAAGCCCAGCCCTAACCTGGACAGCTTTCTGCTGCCCACCATCATGCACCGGGCTGCTTCTGACTCAGGGAGCCCTACATGTAACCCACCCCCAGCAGAGACTCTGACGCTGCCTCTGCAGGTCTCTCCTTCCAGCTTACACTAGCTGGCTTATGTCACTCTTCAAATATGGCCTCAAAACTGACAGTGGTGTCTATTCAATACAGAATAAACACACTCACACCTACTGTCTTTCTGAAAAGGGTCTCACTATATAATTCAGGCTGGCCTTGAGCCCAGTATGTAGCCAGGTTGGCCTTGAGATTGCATTGATCCTCTTACCTCAGTCTTCTGAGTGTTGGGATTATACTCTGCTCTCCATCTATTTCATAAAATATGAAATTGGTAATCACATCACTCACTAAATCTTCTGTTCATGTGAAGCAAAATAACTTGAGAGTAAGAGCTGAGGTTTCAGTTGAGTTTGGAGTCGGGCAGCGCTGAGGTCAGGCAGCACTGAGTTTGGAGCCATTAGTTCTCTTACCTAGAGCTACGGGAATTGTTTACCGGCCAGGATTTTTGATTGTACCATGGAGGCAGCTTCAGGCAGAACCCGGATAAGGTATGTGCAGGGTCTGACTTGCACAAACTCATCTGGTACAAGCTGGCCCACATGTCTCTGCTGTCCTAGCCAAGACGCTGACGTCTTCAGGTGTGCCACCGCTCAGGCCGTCTTCCAGGTGTTCTGGATGTGGGCGGAGGTCTCAGCATCTTCACCATCTAGAGCATCAAACAGTCTGTTCTTCAGGATCCTGACTTTGTTTTACAATTGACATTCTTCTCAGCTAAGTGATATTACCAGGCCTTGTGTGCTCAGAGGTGCAGCTGTGGAAGGTGAGGCAATCATGGCATCTGGCAGCTGACAGCTAACCTGGCATTAGGAGGTGGGACCTGGGTGGAAGGGGCGGGGCCTGGGTAGGGGCGGGGTTGGGTGGAGGGGGTGGGGCCTGGGTAGGGGCGGGGCTGGGTGGAGGGGGTGGGGCCTGGGTAGGGGCGGGGCGGGATGGAGGGGGTGGGGCCTGGGTGGAAGAGGCCAGTCACTGGGATCATGGCCTGGGAGAGGGGTCATTTCTCTTCCTTTCACTCTGATTCTCAGAAACGGTGATGAAAGCAGCTCTTCTTTGCCAGAGTCTTCCATCATGTGTTCAGTCCAACACTGTGAGCCCAAATAAACTTCTCCTTTAAGCTGTGGCTGTTGGGTGTTGTGTCTCAGTGATGGGGAAAGTGACTGAAACCATATGAATGACACGTTTCAAGGCAGAGGCTGGGCTTTAACGATGAACTCCCATCCAAATAGACACTGATTTCTTGATTATCCTCTTCCTTTGTGCTCCTTTAGTCAACCCTAACTTTATAAAATCTCTGAACTACTTTATTAAGTCAGCTCAGAATGAAATTCTGTCTACCATCTCTACATTATTTTCTTTAGAGAACATGCTGTGTTGCTACAAAACATGAGGAGTTCATTTCCTTTTTCACAAAGTTCCTACATGTGTAACACGCTTCCAGTGCAAGTCTGTAGTCTATCAGTTACAATTAACATGGCTTACTTTAACTGAAAAATAGTTTGTAAAAAATGTGAGATAAACCATATTTTAGAGTTTAAAATTGCAGTTAGAAAAGTTTGTCTCCTTGTTTCTACACAGCACTAATCTGAAATATTTTGTTGTTAACTAAAGGTTTAAAGCAAAGAATATAGAATTACTCCACTAGCGAAAATTTAGTCTTCACTCTTCCGTTTCTGACCCAAATAGCCTCAGACTGGTCCTATAAGAACCCTCAGACTTGCTCCTAGGGGACCACAATGCCAGTCGGAGAGGAAGGCTCGTATCACTCAGCTTTCTGTGGAGTGGAGTCAAGACCGGCTTTTCTAACAATGGACACTTTTAAGGACACTGGCTTGCCCCGGGCTTTAGAAACTTTGGAAAGACAGGAAGGAGATCTATGGTGCATGTAGCCTCAATTTTAAAATGATCATCCTCAAGGCTCACGTTTGCGAATATTCCCTGGATGACCCCTTTACCCCAGGGTGACTAGACCGCACGGTTATGATGGGCCTCTCCATCTATGATGCAGTTATAGTCTATGGTAAAAGGAATTCGCTGATTAACAAAAAAATATAATTATTCTGGGTGGGTCTGGTGTAATCAGGTGAACCTGGAAATGAGCTTGTCTCGGGGGCTCCCAGATGTCCTCGAACCTGCTGAACCAGGGACCTCACTTTGTAAACCACCGCCACACCACAAACAAGGAGGTGCTGGTTTTTCCTCCATCTAACCTTTCTCATTGGATGGAAAAACACCTTTGAATTTTGAAACTCAGGGTAAAATAAGGAAAGGACACAGAACTGTGACACTGCTGAACACAAGTGTTTCTGATAATTTATCTTAAAATTTTATCACTGTGGAGACTTCCCAGATTTAGTGAAATCAGGCTTTCAAAAATGGATGTTGTTCTCTTCCCATGGGTGAGGAGTGGCTTGGGGTCCCTGCTGCCATCACTGCCTAGCTAGTGAGTTTGGCCGTCCAGGCTGGCATCTCATCCATGGACAGCGGCTGGGGCCTGTGCTCCCTGGAGACAGGTGCTTTAGCCACTGCCCAATGTTGACAAATCATGTCACCCTGAACCCTCCCCCAGCACATGAGGCCACCAAACGAGGGTCAGAAATAGTCTGGATGAAACTTAGAGATGCCACCAAGTTTGAGTTAAGACACTGTTGAAGACAAATCCTTGCCAGTGGGAATGAGGTTATGTAGGATCGTGACCCCAAATCAGGACAAACAAGGAAAGCAGAGAAGCCAAAGTCAAAGTACGGTTGCACAGTGATGAAGATGACCTAGCATTAGATCTGGTCATGGTGGCATGATGTAACTTCAGGACAATCAAAAGCTTATGCATCCAGGAGAACCCAAATCACCATGGTATCATGGAGTTTTACCTGGTGGCTCATGCTTGTCCTGCAACTTGCTGTTGACCTGGCCTGGGGTGTGGGCTGGGAATCTAACTGGAAACATCTGTTAGAATTGACTATGAAAATCCTGCCTTGTTTTGATTATTTTGCTCATACTATAATCTTGAAAGGGAGAACTGGATGATTAGCCAAATACATTTGCATTTAGTTTTTGCAGAAGGTAGGTGTGCCTTGGTTTTGTATTCCAAAAGAAAAAAAATGACTGATCTTTTCCATTAGAACCCTTCAGGTCACCCGCAGCTGCTCGCTCTCCTGCTTTTGTTTATTTTTATTCCCAAAGAGGTGCAGGCCGCTCCCAAACTGCTGTATATGATTGATGATTGGATTCTTTTCAGGCCCAGGAATGAGGGGCATCTGAAGCTCGGGGAAACCATATCCTACTGACTGTAAGACCACTGCCAGCATACTCACAGCGCAGAGATTTGGCAAGTTTGTGTAATCACAGCAAAGGGATTACAAAGTGCAAAACAAGCCTGACACTTCTGTGAAACCGCCAGTGCAGACGCTCCCTCAGGCCTAGAAGGTCTGGAGGCTGAGTCCTTCTTACAGGTGGCTGGTGTGTCCCCTTCCCCTTGGCCAACGTGGGCAGCATTTGTAACACAGGGAGAAAAGATATCCCAGTAACTGACTTTGGATCACAGCAACAGAAAGCTGGAGTCCTCCGACCCAAGGCTGAGAAGTCCCAAGCCACGTGCCTAGATTTTTCTGCGGCAGGAAAGATCGTAGCACCCATGTGACTAGTGAGATGCTTAGAGATACAGCTTAGAGAGAAGCTGTCCCTGGCTGCCCTGAAGGGGGAAACTGTAGGTGTCTCTGATGACTTACTTACCAATAATAATAATAATAATAATAATAATAATAATAATAATAAATGCAGCTTGTGTTACAAGCAATGTCTTGTTCACCCTTCAACAAATCTTTTAGGATCCTTACAAGAATTAGGGTGACTTGTGACCAGCACTACACTGGCAACTTCTCAATTTCAACCTCAGCGTTAGAAGTGCCTTTTCCTTCTAGAAATAAATATCGAGGCTCCGAGGTGAAATCTGCGGTCCTTCTGTTATACAAGGTGCGAGGAATTAAGAGAGATCCTGTTTGCTCAAGGTTCCGCTGCGTGAGTCCCCAAAGTAAAATGATAACACAAAACCCCTAATGCCCAGCACAAATTTCTACTAGGCAACTTTTGTCACTAAAAAGTGCAAACGCAGACGCCTGTGTAAATCTGATTTGCCGCGCTAGGCCAAGCTTATTTTATTACATACATTCTGCATCCTAAGAACTAATCATCTCATATGTAAACATTAAGCATACAGAGTTAAAATTCAAGGCCACATTATATTGTTGATTGTCTCTTTTTTCTGTCACATGTCTTTGGCTGGCCGAGATCAACTCGTAGTGTATAAATGCATAAGTTATATAATTATTATATAAAAAGGAAAAACAAAACCCTTGACTCGTATACTTCATTCTGACAAACGCACAGCGTTCGCGACTCAAAAAGGAAACCTGGAGCCCGCCTGCCCCGAGTGCATCTGCCATCTCTGACGGTGGTGGCCGTGAGGCCGTGTCCCACTGACCCTGTGGGCACAGAGCCCCTGAATGCTCAATCCTGAACGTTTCTTTTAAATATTAGACAATTCCAGTTTAAATTTGCTTTTAACAAAGATAAAAATAAAGAGAGAGAGATGCACATTTTTGGTCCTGAATTCTACTTCCGCTCTCCCTGTCTAACACTGGCTTTGGTATAACACTGACAGCATCAGAACATGAGTCTCACAACTTACTCTCCAAGTGTCCTAAACCCAGAGAAGTTTCTTCCCACGTTTTTCTCCTCCTCCTCTCACTCCTCCTCTTCCTTCTCTCATTCCTCCTCTCCCTCTTCTCCTCTTCCTCTCTCTCCTCCTCTACCTCCTCCGACTCTTTGTCTACAGTCACACTCACTGTCTGCACACATCCTCTGTCCAACGCCTGGCTCGTGGTTCCTGCAATGCTGTAAGGGGGTGCAAACCGGTCGTCTTCACCACTGGCAGAGCTGCTTGCTTCCCACTGCGGAGGACTGAACCCCATCCCAACCAACACAGCAGGCCTGTGGTCCCCTGCCAGCCTCCTCAAGGGGGCTGGTCTCTCTCTGGTCTTCCCCTTTGGTTTTGGCTGTGATATGTTTCTATTTTTAAATACAGGTAGTTTTCCTTCCATGACCCTCTACACAGTGTGCAAGGCCAAGACTGAGTTACCTCGAGTACTTAGGTTGAATCCCGGGCCTCAGGAGCCGGATCCCAACCTCTATGCTACGGTCTCTACGCTATTTAAGGCCACGCTCTTTGGCATTTGTCTTTCCGAGTGCATGCTTCTACCAGGCACAAGGTCCTCGACAAGGCTGGCCCGCAGGTGACAGGTCCCTGCGCACTGCGCTCTGAGCCCCTCTTCAGGTCTGTGGTTAACACTTCCGCCACTGCCCCGCTGCTGTGAGTCTTCAGGACTCTCCTGGTTGCCTTCCCAGCCCCAGCCAAGCCTCTCCTCCCCTGCGAGGCACTTCTCATCCCTGCTGTCCCATAGAGTTTGTAGCAGTCCGCGGTGGTGGCACGGTGGCAGGAAAGGCCCCGTGGCACCCTAGTAGTAAGTGCCCAGGTGGGAAGGCATGTGGCTGGCCGGAAGCCGAGTGTTCGGGTAGATGCCCGCGGTCGGGGAATTCCAGTAGGGGTTCGGGGCAGCGAAGAAACTGGACGAGGTGACGGGGAGGGCTGGAGGGTGGGGAGCCACGAAGTTCATCTTCTGCGGGTGGGTGTGGTAGGAGCCCATGTACGGGAGGTCCGAGGGGTATTTGTAGAGGGACGACTCGGGGGGGTGAGGTTGCAGGGCCTGGGCAATCCCGTGGAAGTCGAACTTGTAGGCGTAGCGCTTCCCGTGGACTTTGGTCATGATGTTCTTGTCATAGTAATAGCGGAGGGCGCGGCTGAGCTTGTCGTAGTTCATGTTGGGCTTGCTCTTGCGCTCTCCCCAGCGCCGGGCCACCTCGTCGGGGTCCGTCATCTTGAATTCCCCATTGGTGCCCTCCCAGGTGATGCAGTTGGAATTGGAGCTGTCAGACAGGAGCTCCAGGAGGAACTGCCACAGCTGGATCTGGCCACTACCTGGGGAGGACAGGGGACATGAAGCAGCAGTGAGAGCAGGCCAGTGAGAGTGGGACGTCCTGGTGGGCAGCCTGGGTCCTCCGGTTCAGACCTGTCCCTATTTCTGAGCTATGGCTGCTCTTGGGCTGCCCATGTCTCCAGAGAACTGGACCTGGCTGGACAGGGCTGCCTCCTCCATCCTGTGGGTAGACCAACACAGGAAGCACAGGCTGGCTTCACTCCAAGGAAAGCTCCAGCTCCCCTGGGGACTAGGTCGAGCAAGGGTCTCACGCCTCCCTCCCGCCTGCCCTCTGGAGAAGATGCCCTGAGTCACTGCTGCTGGTACCCTTTCTCCTAACTCTGCATCTAGAGAACCCGGCCTAGGATGCCCACCAGGCTTGCCCACTCACAGGCTGAGCTAACAAACCCAAGTTCTTTGTGGAATGCAGGGAATTCACACTGGGTAAAGGTCCGGGTGGCTCCATCTATTTATGACTTCCTTCAAAGAACGGCCAGTTCCACCTGGAGCTCTAGGGATGAAAGGACCATTTTTTTTTCTTCCTATTTTGTGAGGCAGCAAATGCCCTTCCGTGCGTGGCAATGATGACCTCGTACTGTTTATTTTGGCCAGGTATCATAAAGTAATAAAAGTCAGGTTGAGGAAATGAACATCTAAAAATTTATGGAAAAAGATAGAGAATGGAAGTAAACATCATTAGTTCTAACATAACATTCTGCTGGCGCTCACAAAGTAATTCTGTCCAAAGTTTTCCTAGAAGAGAATTAACCCACTCAACATGAGGAAGTTTAGAGGAAAATCGGGCTCTGTTCCACTGAGATTGCCCATTTCCAGAATGGAAGCAAATGCATCCTCACGGAAATCCACAGGCCACACTTGTCACTTAACCAGGGCTACAAAGTCCCATTGGAAGCCTACGGAGAGCTCTGGAATGTCTTCCTCAAATCAGAAAAACCTGCGGATAACACTGCATTGTAACACTCCACAACAGTGTTCCAATGCTTGAAACTGACTGAAGGCTCCCTATGGGACAGAAGTTTGTGGACCTTAAAGTGGAGGGCCAGGGAAGCTAAACTGGGATCTCACAGATTTTATAAGTTAAAAATCGACGGGGAGGTACAGGTTTCTTCCCAAACTTCCCTGTAGCATGGCGGTGGGGCTATCACACAGATAGATACTGCTTAGGATATAAGGTAGACCAGCAGATGGTATTAGTACTAATGTGATAACCATCAAAGTACCTTCCACCCGTGACTCACAAGGGAATTGATAATTGTGAGAAATCAGTAATAAATCCTTTTTTTTTTTTTGGTAGTGGGAATTGAACTCACAACCTCACACTTGCCACGCAGGACTGTGCCACCGAGTCATATCCCAAACTCCTTATTTTTCTACTGATAGGAAAAGGTATACATCCTGGTCCTTTTATAAATTGTCCAACTCATAAATCCTTGTTTCCACGTTGGCGACATGAAAATGGGTGTGAGTGAGCTCACCCCTGCAACGGCACCGTGGGAAAGGGGCCTCTTTTGCATACATACTGGAAAAGGCTCATTTTCAGACAAGCAACGCATTCGAAATGCATTAGCAGCTTGTAGCTCATCGAGATGGAAACCCCCGCTGCCACCTCGGAACCGTGTGTGCAAACTGCCCTCCCTTGAGTTTTGTTGGCTCCAGCGTTTCATTAATATGCATTGTGTGCATGGTATGAAAGGACCATATGGTTCTAGTAAATACGCTGTAAGCAAAGGATGAAAATTTGAAAAAGAAAACAAAACACATTCCAGAGATGACCCGGGAATAAGGAAGAGCCATGGATTTTTGATTTAACAGTCTAACAGATGCTTCCCTGTAAACATGTTACAGTTGTTTGAAAATAAATATTCAGCGTTGACTTCCTCCCATGGAGAGAGCAGTGCCACGGATCTGGTATAAATACACAGCCCTGCAAACAGAATGAACTTGGTCTGCTCAAGCACTGGTCTCACCTCTGAGGAATGTGTCGCTTGTCCCCTGCCCTCATAAACATGTGTAGGAAGGAAGCCATGGAGAGAAGTGGTCCCCTCTCTCTTTTCCTCTGGAAGAGCCAGACAGCGGGGGACCCACGTTCATAGCTGGGAACTCAACGCTCAAAGGATGGACGAGCTGGTTTCCCACTATGCAGTAGCTCAAGTGACACAAGACTCTGGCCTCTGATATGGAACAAAACTTCCTGTGAACAAAGCTCATCGGCTTCCAAACCTGACAAGAGCACTTAACACTGTCCAGGTAAAATCCACCAGTTCTTAAGGTGATGGTCTAACACATAACACACTATCAAACTCAGGAATTGTACACTGGATGTTCCAAGTAAAAGCCACCCCCTGTGCCACTGTGGAGCTGGTTTTCTTACTGTACAAGAATGTTCCAGGATGCAACGTGGTGGCCGGCAAGTCCTGGCCAGCAGCGTACTGAATGAGTAACCCTTGGCCACAGAATCTCAAAGGTAAAATTGGTAAAATTTTGACTTTACTCGCAAAGCGATCCCGTGTGACTTGCAGCAAGCTGCACTTTAGGGTATGGAACAGGATTCTACTGAACAAGAATGCTAAGGCTTTGGAGAGACTGACAAGTAGCCAAACCAGTGAGCACAATTAGGTCTTTTTTTAAATTTTTTTTTAAGCCAGTCAAATTTAGCGGGGGGGGTGTGGTATACCAACTTTAGTGACACTAATGTTAATAAGTTCTGATAACCCACTGCCATCGGACCAGCCCAGAATTAGGTCTTGAAAGACAAGAGTTGTCACTGCACTGCCTCCTCCTCTTTCTTCAGTAAAACCCTTCCCACCGCTTTTCTCACTGCCTATGACATCCTTGGGACCTCGGAAAGGAATAGCTAGTTTTTCCCTACAGTGGAAAATGAAAATCATAGGATTCAGGCTAAGAAAAAAGTGCAGGAGGAAAGGGAGGAGGTGAGCTCTGAGAGGACAGGAGACCTTTCTTCCACATGTGAGAGAAAAGTATCTCCTAAGAGGGCCAAAGGAGAGAGGTGGGCTGCTACAGACTGGGGTACGCTGTGTCCTGTGATATGATGGCTCTTGGGGAAGATACCGGAAGTGATACAGAGGCATCGGATGGAATTTTTATTTTCATTTTTTTTTTTTTTTTGAGAAAGCAGCCTGGAGGCCCATCAACAGCTGAATGATACAGAAAACGTGGTGTCCACATACAGTGGGTATTTCTCTTACCATACAGAAGGACATCCTTGAATTGTATAGGAGAATGGATGCACCTCGAGACCGTAGTAAGTTAGATAAATCAGACACAGAAGATTAAATATCACACGGCTTCTCTCATATGAAAGACCCAAAATACAAGTAATTTAAAGAACAAAATAGAAGTGAGAGGAAACAGAGAGGCAGAATGTAGAGGTGGGAAGGAAAGAAGGGAGAAGAGAGGAGAGTTAAAATGATCAAGAGGTGTTCAGTACCTGTCTTAGTTACTTTTCTCATTGCTGAGACAAAATACCCAACACCCACAAATTAAGGGAGGAAAAGGTTTATATAGCTCAGTTTGTAGAGGTCTCAGTCCGTAATTGGATGGCACCAAGGCACAGTGGCACAGGGCAGGGGGTGTCACAGAGAAACAGTTCAGGGCAGCCAGAAGGTAGCAAAGCAAGCAAGGGACCTTAACGGTATCTTTCTGCCCCTTTAATGTTCCCCACACCACTCAGGGAGGGTGGCACTCACACCCTTAGTCTCGGTGCCCTTGAGACTAGCATTGCACCATGAATCAATCCCAGCTTCACGCACTCCAGATCCAGCCACCTCTGAAAAAGCTCCACCTATGACTGCATGAGGCTCTGGGGGGACATCTAGACACAAGCCATAACCGTACCAGTTTCCTGAGATGGGTGGAATTATTATGTACTGCAAAGGGACAACAGGAAACAGGGAGGTAGATCTTTTGCAAAAGGGCAGAGGACCAAGGGATGGAGAGAGGCACAGAGGGAAGGGCAGGCAGAAACAGTGAGGCAGAGCGATGTGTGTACACCAACGCCCACGACAAATGCCATCATTAGGCACCGCGAAGGTAGCCAGGGAAACTAAAAATTGTAAAAATGCCTTTCTCAAACTTGAAAAACACAGTAGCAATGAGATAGAGACTGGGCAAAAAGAGCAAAAGACTAAACAGTTCATGAATCACAGAGAGGGGCAGGGCCAAGGACACAACAAGGCAGCCAGGGCTGAGCCAGCACCAGGGGCAGTGGTCTGGGGTCACCTTCTGCAGGAGCTGGTGCTGGTGGGTGCTCTGGGGAGGACTCCATCTGGGAGCTCAGGCACCCCATGTGGCAGGGCCAGGCAGGCTCCTCGGCAGGCACCGCCTTTGGATCTGGCACCACCAAGCTGGATGAATCTTGGCTGTGCCCCCTAAGAGGACCTGGGCAGTTCCCTCAGCTCTCTGGGCCTCAGTGTCCTCAGCTATCCAGTGGGTGTGGCCGGGATAGGAACTCCCTACAGGGCTACAATGACAGTGAGCTCTCTATGAAACCATAAAGTCATGGTTTGTGTGCTCTGAGAACCAGAGTTTAAGAAGAGGTCTCCTGGGAGATGGGAAAATGTCAAACGGTGACCACCAAGGGCCACCAAACTGGCCTCAAAGAAGCTTGGGATGGTGCTCAGGGCTGGCCAAATCCACTAGTAGCTCAGTGCAGGTGGACACTGTCTCAAATGCCATAAGAATGGTCTGATTCCTGTAAGAATCACATGACTAAAGCACTGGGTAGATGAGGAAATAGGAGCCTGCAGAGGTGGACAGGACGTTGTTGCCCAAAGGGAGCAGAGGTCAGAGCTCAAACTCCAAGCTGCTGTGCTCAGCCTTGCACCGATGACTCCACAGCCTTCCACAACCTCCTGGGGTCCTTCCCAGGGGGACTCCTGCCCGGGCCTGGAGCCTGGTGGGCTCCCCCTGGGATATCCCATGCTTCCATCACCTGACAAACAGCAAATAATCCCCCAAAGTGCTCTGCAGTGCTGTGTGAAGCAGGATGTGTTTTCACACCTTTATCCTGCAAGAGTATCCAGCACAGAGGGAGCTGCGGAACAGAGCCCCGGCAGCTCTTTGGTGGAAACGTGATTTCAATTCACTGCAGGAGCACTGTCAAATCCTCAGCCATTCTGATGGGGCATCGGGAGCTGAGCTGCCACCAATGGGTACGTGACACGAGGGCTCAAGGATGCACTTGTCCCAGCAGGAAACTGTGTCCCAAGAATACAGTGACTGAGGATTTGGGATGCTGAGAGCTAACAGGCACAGTCAGGCTGCAGCATGAAATCTTTGCATCTAGGGTGATTTTAAAGAGTGTGCAGGAAAAACTCTCATGCATTTTTGTTTTGTTCATTTGTCTCATTTTTGTGGTTTCATTTTTCCCCATTATTGGAGACTGAATGCAGGGTCTTTCTACTGAGCTCCTTCCAGAAACCCTGTTTAGCTTTTCTGATTTTGAGACAAAGTCTCACCAAGTTACTGAGTTGCCCAAGTCAGGCTCCAACTTGGGATCCTCCTGCCTCAGCCTTCCAGAGCACTGAGATTACAGGTGTGCACAGGGCCAGCTAAAGGCACCAATTTTGAAAGGATGAAAGACATATTTCTCAGAGAATGGCAAGACAAACGGAGGAAGCATCCTCAGCAACGGATGAAAGACACACGAAGAGCCACACAAATACAAGTGACAGAAGACTGAAGGAGAGACAGTCTCATCGTTATAAGCTAAATTTTAAAACTCTCAATGCTAAAGTCCCTCAACTCCAAGTCAAAGGCTGGATGTCCCCATTTTCCCAGGCCCCATCAGAATGGTCTGGAGCTCTGAGATGCTGCCCTCTGCTCAAGACACCAGTGCTGCAGATCCGTGGTGCCTGGGACCTTTGTCCAGCTGTGGGACTGTGTCCTCCGTCCCTCTGCCTTCAGCAAGCACCCTGGTTGCAGTGCATGGGGAGGGGCAATGTGCCCAGGAGAGACAGATGACCTTTCCTCGGCCACCTCCTCCAAACCTGGCATGGATTCCACTGAAAGTGCATGAGCCCAAAGCCATTTCTGTCTTGTTGGGTATGGGCCAGATTCCTCCCTCTTCTTCACTGACTTCCAATGCCCCCCTGAACAGCTGCTCAGTGCAAGGGAAGTCCTTCCTTTCTACCCTTGCGGTTCCCACTCTGAAAGACCTCTGCATGGTGGGGTTGTTGACTGTCAATTTGAGGAAGGGGAGCTCAACTACATTGGCTCAGCCATGCACCCCTGGGGTGCAAAAGCCCCACCCTAAGGCAGCCTGGTGCCTGGGTGGCACAAAGGGGAAATGAAGGAGCACAATCTGCTTCTGCTTTTCCGAGGAGCTCCAGTCTCTGCCTTCACCTTGGACGTCATCAGCTGGCTTCTGTCACAGATCCATCGGCCTCCTGCTACAGACTCAATCGGGACACTGCAGTGAGCTCCGGACCTTGGACTCAAAGCTTTGGGCTTCCTTTCCTGTGCAGTTAGAGGCTGTGGGGGCCGAGGAAACCCAGGCTTGAGCTGTGTGGCTGTGTGGCGTAGGGAAAAGCTGCTTAACTCCTCTGGACCCCTCTGACTTCTCTCCTGGGGGATGCATTTAACATTCAGGGTTGCTAGGAGTCCCTGAAGGCTCCTGTAGGCATTGACATATCGGGGGGCTGGGGAGCTGCTTGGTGGTCCTTTTACATCATTGTACTAACATTCCCAGGGCACTGTGACTTCTGAGCTTTCCTTCTTCCTAATCTGCCCTGAATGGGGCTCAAATGGGAAGCTGAATGGAGGTAGGAGTGGGGCCCATGCAGGAAACGTGGCCCCCAGTGGACATTCACAAGGGATCCGGTGACCCCCTGTACTGGACAGAGTCCTCAGCACCCATGTTCCTCCCTCCACCAGTGACAGCTCCTTAACCGAAGATCCGTGTTGTATTGCTCTTGTCATTTAATTGTCCAGCAGGTAATCAGTGAGCAGCCACCTAGATCTGGGCTAACGCAGCAAAACAAAGCCCCTTGAAGTTGCCCGACTATTTAGAAAAATACTTACTGATTTAACACTAATTCAAATTTCGCATCAAGCAGCCAGCCGCTTAGTAAAGCTATTTCCTGCTCTCCATTCTGCCCTCTCCCGTGGGCCTGGGCATTGGGAGAAGCTGAGGTTTGCTGTGGCTGTTGCTGCTTCCCAGCCCTGGCCGTGTCTGGGTGCAGAGGAGAGGGGCACTCCAGCTCACACCCACTGTGACACCTTGGCATGGGAACATACAGCATGGGCTGCTATTTTCTGAAGCTGCTGCCAGCACAGCTGGTTCTGATCTGGAGACAAACAGAGCGATTCAGCTGCACTGAGACTCGAGGACAGGTGACAGTCCTTGGCGAGGACAGGTCACAACAAAGGTCAGAAACGGACTCTGGGGGATGACCCTCATTGTAATTAAGAGTCTCTCTTCCTAAAACCTATTATTTTGTCTGCTGGGCAACAGGTTGAATTGTGTCCCTTCAAAATTCTTCTGTTGTTCACGTCCAAATCCCAGGACCTCAGGATTTGACCTTTTATGGAGACCAGGTCTTCATGTAGGTAATCAAGTCAAAGAAGGGCACGGGAGTGGGCCATGTTCCACCACGAATGGTGTCCCTATAAAAGGGGAAGGTGACGGACTCCAAGCACACTCAACACCCTTATCATGGACAGAGGGGCCACACACGGTCACTGGAAGAAAGATCTCCTCTTTAATGCATGGTGCTGGAAAAACTGGCTCGCTAACATGCCGAAGACTAAAACTGGACCCATGTCTATCACCATGCACTAAACTAAAATCAAAATGGATCAAAGATCTAAATATTAAAACAGAAACACTAAACTCTGGAAGAGAGAGCAGACAGAACTCTTGCAGACATTGGTAAGGCAAAGATTTCATTAACAAAACCACAATCACACGAGAAATACTACAAACAATCAGCAACTATGATTTCATTTTTAAAAAAGCTTTTGCACAGCAAAAGAATCACCAACAGAATGAAGAGACAGCCCACAGAGTGGGAAAAATATTTTTGCCAGTTGTTCCTCAGACAGAGGACTGGTATCTAGAACATATAAAGAGTTGAAAAAAACCAGAGCCCCTAAATTTAAAGACTCAATCCAAAAACAGGCATCTGAAATGAATAAACACTTCTCAGATGAAGATGTACAAAGAGCAAACAAATATAGGAAAAATATGTTCAACATCACTGGTCATTCAAGAGATGTACATTAAAACAATGCTAAGATTCCACTTCACCCCAGAAAGAATGACTATTATCGAGAAATCAACCAGTAACAAATGCTGGAGGGCTGTGGGGAAAGAGAAGCCCTTCTCCAATGTCAGTGGAGTGTAGACTGCCGCAACCACGGTGGAAACCAGAATGGAGATTCCTCAAAAAACTAGGACTAGAGGTTCCAGTTGACCCAGCTATTTCCCTCTTTTGTGTCTTCCCAAAAGAATTAAAAGCATCACACCACAGTGACATAAACATGCCCATGTTTATAGCAGCACAGTTTGTAATAGCTTGGAAACAGCCCAAATGCCATCAACTGATGAAACAATTAAAAAAAGTTTGGGTTTTTACTACAGTAGAGTACTACTCTGCCGTAAAGGATAAACTTCAGCCATTTCTGGGTAAGTGGATTTACCCTGGGACCACGCTCTTAAGTGCAATAAATTTGGACACACATGTTTAAACATCACATTGTCTCTCTGCTGTGAGAAACCAAAAGTGTAAATAAGGACCAAAATGTGCCATAGACATTGTGAAATAGGAAAAATAACGTTCAAGGGAAAAGGGGAACTAGAGAGGAAAGGGGAAAAGGAAGGAAGGGAACAGAAAATAAATAAGAAGAATAAAATGGGAACAAAGCTTTGTAAATAAGGAGGCAAGAGGGGTTGGAGGGAATGGAAGAGAATGGGAAAATAAAGACGGATCAAGACATAGCAGGGACAGATACCAAAAATGGCACCAATAAAACTAATTTTAATAAAGGGGGAAGTCTGGACATAAAGGGGGACATACAGAGAGGAGAGACCTGAAAGGGTGGGTATCTACCAGCCACGGGAGGGGTTTCCCACAGATCCTGCCTCATGGCCTCAAAAGGGCTGCACCTGATGCCTTAACGCAGCTGTGCAGCTTTCAGAGCTGTGAGCCCATCAATGTCTGCTGCAGTCTGTTATGGTGACCCCTGGAAGACTGTCTCAGTGTGGACTGGAAGACAAATGCTCTTTGCTGAAGCTAAAATCGTAGTGCACATCCTGATTCTTTTTCTTTTCCACTAAGGAGACTAACTCAGGGGCACTAACACTAAAATTTGTTTGATTGAAGGAAAGTTTCTCAGCATACAAAGCCTCCTTTCCAAGTGACCACTGCCCAAAAGAAAGTTACGGAAGGGAAGAGTCGCCAGCGGGCTCTCACCTGGGTTAGCGAGGCGGCTGCTTGTTGGTCCCAGGATCTGATAAGGGTCTGCAACAGAAAGGAGGAAGTCAGATCCCAAAATGGTGACTCATGCGACTTCGGCAGAAAATCCCACCCCAAAGTCACGCCTCCATCTCATGTGTGAGCGGAGAGGTCACAGGGGCCCTGGAGATGCTCCTTGCTAGAGTCCTCAGCCGGTGGCAGAGCTTGGATTCCCCAGATTTCCAGTGTGCTGCCAGGAACTCACGACGACCCCGATATAAACAGGGGATACGTGTGCGAGTCCCCGAGTGCCCCCTGGCTTGCACGGGCTCTGATGTTCAAGTCACCACCAGGGTCTCACGGAGCTGCACTTCCCCAGGGACCTGATCCAGGGCAGCGCTGGTGCATGTGACCTGGGAGCAAAACTAAAATAATCCACAGGTCACAGAGAAGCGGTCTCCGTGCAATCACAATGCTTTCCCTTGACTTCGCTGCACCGGAGCTCCAACCGAGCTCCAACCGAGCTCCAACCGAGCTCCCATCGTTCTAACGGAACAAACTCGTGCTTTGGCCCTGCAGAAAAACCCTGCTAAGCCTGCATCCTCCCCACCATTGTCCAGATGGTCCCCAAAACGTACCTAACTGGGGGCGCTGATCTTCAGTTTTGGACACTGCGGAAGGAGACGGCTGGATAGCTGAAAACCCAAAAGTAAAAAGCCGGTTAGCTGTGGTTCGGTTTGGTGCTATCGATTCTATGATCACCCCATCACCTGCTCTCACTGCTGACCTGATGGTCTCACAGCAGGATGCACGGCAGGGTGAGGACGTTTTCCTCTCTCAGGAAATCAGATGCAAACATCCTAACACCAAAGGACCTGCCTGTTGTTTCAAAAATATTTACCATACTTCTTCCCAAAGAAGAGAGATAATTTGCGATAACTTACAAAACAGATTAAAGGAAACCATAGTTTAACATAAACAGATAGAAGAAAACTACCGGGTCAGACTTTTATACACAGCCGTATGAAGGAACCCGCTGGTCATTCAGCTGCACACAAACACCCTCTGAAACATGCATTTTCCACACTGAAACCCAGGCCGGCCTGGGGCCTGCGCCTATGGTTTCAGCTCTCTGGGGGGCTGAAGCAGGAGGATCACAGTTTGAGAACAGTCTGGGCAACATAATGAGACCCTGTCTGGAAATATAAAATTAATAAGAGAGCTGGGAACAGAGCTCAATGTGAAGGCTCTGGGTTCAAGTTCCAGAATCTCAAGAAAGAAAGAAAAGAAGAGAGGAGGAAGAAAGGCGGGAGGGCAGGAATAAGGAGCAAGGGAAGGGAGAAGGAAAGATGGAAAGAGGGAGGAGACAGAAGGCACTGCTGCATTTGGCTTTTCCGGCTGTGAAGCCGGAGAGACAGAGACAGGGAAAGCGCCATGTCTGGAGATCAGCTGTGTTTTTCTCCAAGGGGAGAAACCCTCCACGGGATGCCAAATCCCAGAAGAGCTACAGAGACTTATCCCGCCACCAAGCGCCGTCCCGCCTCATGCTGGGCACAGTACCTTTGGACTGAGGGCCCGGATGGCCATGTCCAGTCCAGGCTGACCTCCGGGGAGGCTCGTAAGGTAAATCTGCAAAGACACACACATGGACTCAGAACTCCACGATAGCAATGGTGCAACAGGCATCTTCCTTTTTTATGTGGGGTTTATTAGAATAAGCACCGTGTGATCAAATCCAGGAATTCCAAGAAACACTCCACCTAGATCCCATTAGGTTTGGCTTGTATTTATGAATTATCATGTCATATAGCATGCTGATTTGAAATCCTCTGCCTCGTTTCTCTGGAAACTCCCCCTGGCGACTCTTCTAGAGTCACTGCCTCTCCCTAGGGTCCGAGGCCGAGGCCCTGTGAGGAGAGTCTGATGGTCTCTTTAGCAGGATTCCACTGGGTGCGTCCGAGTGTACCCCTGCCCCCAGTCAGAGCAGCCGCAGCCCGGGCTCCGGCACTTCCCGTTTGAGGTCCGCCGCCCCCACCCAAGGACATTTGAACCCCTTTCTTCTGCCCCTCTCTTGGGAACCCTTACTCCTTCTCACCCTTGTGTCTCTCATGGCCCCCATGCTCCCCTCATTTTTTATATTATCCGGACTAACTGGTCTGATGTTTTTGTTTTTGGCAAATGTTTACTCTCTCTCCTTTTTAAAAAAATATGGATTTAGAATTTCTCTGAAATGAATTGCATGGAATAAATGACAAGGTTGAAATAGTATCCCCCCACCCCCACTAACAATGACCTGCAGGGCTGGCCTATGCCACGATCTATAACGTAGTATCACTGACCCCATAAATTTCCTTGTGCTTTGCACATGCAAATCTAATAATGACACTTCCACATCTCCTTCTGAGTCCCATTAATAGTGATCAAGGCTCTAAGTCACGCCAAGGCTCTGTCCAGCGTACATTCCAGAGGCATCATCTCTACCCTTACCACGGAGCCTCTTTTTTCTTTCTGTGACTGATTTCAAAGCTACCTCCTTGGAGGGGTGGGGCCCAGCTCAGTATCAAGGGTCACAGCAGGTGACCAGAGGCCACCACGTCCTGCTGGACCCTTCCCCAGGGCCTCTGCTGACAACAGCAGGAGGCAGTGCAGAGGACAGGGCAAAGGGAGTGAAATATACAGGCCTCTCTTTAAATGTTCAGGCAGCCTGGCTGCTCAGTCTCCACGGAGCCTGACTCTGAGGCCCAATACGCATCTCTTCCTATTTCCTGATCCCCGGGAGGGCAGGAAGGCGACGCAACACCAGTCTCAACCCAGAGCCGCCCTAATGCATGTGGTGTGCTTGGCCCCAGCTCGCTCTGCTCTGTGAGTGTGGTCTGTGAAACCCGACCCTCCAGGGTTTGGGGTTCTGGAGGGTTAGGTAGTTTTTCTCTTTAAACTCTGCGGTTGCGCACCCTCCCTCTAAGCTGGCAATTTCGCACTCTGGGGGCTTTGGATTTTCCCACCCAGCTCCTCAGTGTCACTTTTCTGGAGCTGGGACCACACGCACGCACAAAGGCAGCAGCTATCGACTGACAGCTAAAATTCAACTCCTGTTCCTGGGAGTGCTTTGCACAGGGATTCTCAGCCAGTTACACTTTCTCTTTGAAAGAAAAACAAACCACAGCTAGCCAGAGTTTCAATACCAGAACTGCCTGAGAAAGAAGAACCTATTAGTGAGGCAGCCCCAGAAGCACAGGGCAAGCTCTGAGGTGCTGCTGTGGCCCGGGGTATGAACCCAGCAGGGGACCGATCCTGTGGGCAGAAAAGCACTGCCCGTGAGAGTCACTGGAAAAAATTAAACAGCCAGCGATGACTGCAAAAATATTTTGAACCTCTTTATTCATAAAATCCTTTGCAGGATGAGTAACCCGGGGTCCCACATCCCTTAAAAATCAGTGGGGAACAAACCCTGTCAAGCCTAATCTTCCGCCCAGCATGCGACGTTTGCACGACAATGACTACTGTGCCCTGGAAGATAAGCATGTCTTGTTTTCTTTTGTGACTTTCTGGGCCAGCGCTTCCTTATCAGCTGCTGATCACATGCTCTGGATACCGGGTCCCCTGCTGTGGGATGTGACATCCATCGGGAATGCAAAAACTGAGCCTGGCTGAGCCAGGGACACTGAGGGTGACCAATCTGTCAGCTATACCGCCCAGAAAAGGAGCCAGTGTTGAGTACTTCCACCTATTCTTGCTTACTTGAACAACTTACTAATCCATATATTTTTGCTATTTGTCCTTTACTGATAACAGAGCATAGGACTTCTAATTAAACAAATTTCAAGCCTGGCACATGGTCCATGCCTGTAATCCCAGTACTCTGGGAGGCTGAAGCAGGAGGGTCATAAATTTAAGCCCAGCCTGGGCAAATTATGAAGAATCTGTCTTAAAATAAATAAATTGTTTAAAAAAATTTTAAGGTTAGGGTTAAGCTGGGGAAGTAGTTCAACGTGAAAACCCTGGGTTCAATCCCTAGCACTGCACATAAAAAACAACTGATTATACAATTAATCTTTGGTAATGATTCCAGCACCATCTCCATCTCTCTCAGTTTTATCTTGCTGGTAATTAACTCACACACTTGGCAGAAGTCCTGTGCAGCGGGGGAAGGCTGCTCGCTGGCACCCCTCCTGCTATTTTATCTGCAGAAGCTCTGTGCACAGAAACTGAGCTTTACAAATGTGCTTTCACAGGCAGCTTGGAGCGACCACAGAAACACTGGTATATACCATGATCCAGACAAATGAAACCACGGAGACATGAAAAGCAAGCGTGTGACTGGCGTTTAGTCCCCCCTCTAACGCCTTCGCTAATTTCCTGGATGCAGGGAATGGTTTCAGATTCTGGGTGAGGCCCCCGGCCCTGTATCTTTTCCCAGGACATCCATGAATCAGCACGGCGGCCTGGCCATGCTTGCCACGAGGGTCAAGTTCCACTAAGTTTGCACTCTCCTTTTGCCCACCTCCCTGCACAGGGACCCTGCAGCCCTTCCCCCTCCACATATCTACTTTCCTTTCTCAAGTACTGAGCTCGGGTGACCTCAGAGCTCATCCTCATTCTGTAGGACCCAGGCCACGCTGTCCCAGCAACCCTGGAAGTCCCTGCTGGGGAAGGGATGGTTCATCTTCACTCTGTGCATCGATGAAGGCAAGGTAGCAAGACCAAGAACTATCGCCCAGAGCCAATCTGTAAATGCCAGGGAAACAGAAGGAATGTAGAACCAACCCCAACATGACTGACTTGCTCTCTCTCGTTTTCCTCCAGATCTTTCTAAAATGTTCCTAAATCCTGCATGGATGACCTGGAGATTGCACCATCTGTATTCCTGTCTTGTCTGGGTGTGCAGAGCACACCGTGGTACAGCAGAGCTGGGGGAAGCAAGGAAGTGCTGGGAGCCCTCTGCTGAGGTCCAGGTTTTGGGGAGCGCCTCACTGAGACGAGCAGTGCATCTGTCCCACTATGCCTGGTCACTGAGCAGCCCCAAGCTGTGAGCCCCAAGGGAGGAGTACGCTAAGAAACCCAGAGAATGCCAGCCTCAGAGTCAAAGCCCTGCATTCAGGTTACACCCTCTGGTCCCTTTTGACAGCATCCCAGATGTGTATCACGGTGTCTGGGTTGTCATGGTGATGAAGGAGGAAGGGAAGAGTGTGATCTTTCACAGGACCTGCTCCCATGAGGCCAGGGAGGGTGGTGCATAGTGAGGCTTGCAAGACCATGTGAATCACACCTGTCCCTGTCCCTGTCACTTTACCCTGAGGCTGCATTCCACAAAGGAGCTGGGAGCTACAGAGGAGGTGAGGAGTCTCCAGAAGTAATAACTGGGTAAACCTGGGAAGCACAGAGAGTGTCATAAAATCAGACTGCAAAATGATGCATCTGGGTGCTAACTCTTTGAAAGAGGAGAGACCAGTCTGCCTACGCGTTACTTCCAGGTCATGGACGAAGGCACACTTTGCATCGGGAAGATTAGGGGAAGTACTAGAAGCAAGCACAGGAAGTGAAAAGGTGAGGATTGAACAAAGGAGGGAAAGAGGCCCCCAGGTGGTTCCCTGGGAAGCCAATGAACAGCCTGGGCCAACTGTAAGATGGGGCTGAGATGTCACCAGCGGGTAAGCGTCACACTTAGAAAGCTCGGCCATGAGAAAGGAAAAAGGTAGGTTAGGGTGGCAGCCCAGGACCAGCACCCCAGGAAGGAAGGAAAGGAAGGGGGTGGGGAGGAAACACCAGGAAGCCAGCTGGGCTGGTGAAGAGAGAATATGATCTCATTCAAACAGCACAACTCAGAGATCATTCTGCTTCTCACAGAACGGACAGAGTCTAGCCTAGAGTTGCTACCTAGGAATCTGGCTTGCTTCTGAGTCAGGACCCAGAGTCCTTCGTATCTGTGGCTGTGGGGCAGGAGACGTGGAGTGGATATAAAGAGCACCCCAAGATGATGCAAGGGTGCGGGGTTCAGGCACTTGGGTCTCTATCTTCATGGAGTCTCTAAGAAATAGTCAACAAAAATTCACCACTTCTGAAAGTACTAGATGCCACTGACCACAGGGACAGGGACGGATTCCTCCTGCCCTTCCTCTGGGATCTGTGCAGCTCAGAACAAGCGAGACAAAGCCCTGTCTACTCTGTTGCATCCTAAAGGCCACCATGTGCACCACCCAGACCGACAGAACCACCAGCCACTCATGCTGGGGTGAGGACCTGCAGGGAAGAAACAAAGGTCTGCAGATAATTCTCTTCCTCAGGGTCAAATCCCTGGCCCCAGCCTGTGGAAAATAGGCCTCGGGCTTACTCAGTCAGATTTATAGCTCTTTACAGATCTGACAGTGATATTTGTATTTCCTTTCATAATCACAGAGGCAGTCGTTAAAGTAGACATTTGTTCCGATGCAAGCTGAGTCTCAGAGACAGACTGTGCTAGTCATGGGGACATGGGAGTGCATGCGCTTCCAAAGCATGTGACAGGGCCACCATGGACAGTGGTGTGTGCAGCTGGCCACCCTGGCCTGGCCCAGCCGGGCAGTCAGGAGTGACTGCAACCATCAACCTCGCTGCCACCCTCTCTCCATGCACCTACGTAGACCACATTTTCTGAATTGACTTAAAACACTGAAAATGTAGGCCCAGGGGCCGCTGGTGGATGGGGCATCGAGCTGGCTGGTCAGCTCAGTGGACTGCGCCAACAGATTTGGCTAATGTGGTGGCCTTTTAACCCTGTCACAACAACAGCTCGCAAACCCTAGCCTTGTACTCCCACGGCGACCTCCAGCATTACATACATTTTAAACAATGAGTCAGTTAATTTTTCAAGGCCAAACATTTTTAAAGTATGCATAGAAAAACATTGCCCTGGATCCCCCTCAAAAGTCCTCCTCACTCTGAGCACACTCATCCCATCACTCTTTCTACCTCCTGCAGCAGCTCTGGAGTCCTCTTTCCTGACGGTCTTTAGCTGCAGGGTCCTGGCTGCCTCCATGTCCTGAGTGGATTCAAAATACTTCCCTCTCCTAGTAGTTCTGGCTTCAGGAAAGAGATAGAAGTCACACGGCGAGCCAGATCTGGTGAGTAAGGTGGGTGAGGGCAATTTCACGCTTTTTATGAATTTGTCATACCCTAGTAAAGACACTCACAAAGAAGGACCCCAGAGCTGCTGCAGAAAGCGTCAAGAACGATGGGATGATTATGCTCCACGGCAGGCAGAGAATCTTGAGGGTGACTCACGGCAATGTGTCTTTTACCGTGATAACCATTTGTGAACTTCAGACATTCACTGTACGTTTTCATCAGCCCTTGTACATGGTGGGATTCTTCAGGGCCAGCCTAGTTTCCTGCAGACACTGGGTCCTATCCACACTGAAATGGCCTCTAACAGGACAGAGGTTACCACCCCGAAGGACCTGCCTGTGCTGGGAACGCCTGGCTTGGTGAGCAGGGTAGACTCTGGGATGCTCTAAGCTCTTCCTCCTCTCTCCCCAGGACCAGGAACTAAGGTATTCCTTTAGGTTGGGAAAGAGAGTACTGCTGGCCCCAAGTGCCCACAGCTGTCCAAGGGCCAGGCTAAGGGCAGCCGGGAACATCCTTAATTTCTGCTGCTTAGCCCCCGAGTCCGGCTTCCCCACTGGGCAGAAAGAGCTTCCAGCCTAGCATATTGGATCAGCCTTGCCAAGACACTTGTAGTCCAGACATGTAGGAAGGTGTAAGCTTTAGACCCATGAGTGGCTAAGGCAGCACGGCCACACTGCCTGGACCCACCATGCCTGCAGCTGTGAGGCTGGAACAAGGACCCTGAGGTGGCCAGGGCCGGACCTAGGGGATGCCACATGCTGCTCTGAAACACCCTACCCACCCCCTGGCACAGTGGGATCTTCCACGTGGGTGTCTGTTCCTCCGCAAAGCTTCCCACTTCTGCCACTGGAGCTCCCTTCTCCCCTTTCTGCCCCGACAGCCTCTGGTGTTTACAGTTACTTGCACACCCCCAAATCCAGCACTAGATTAAAGGTGTGTGAGCTGCTGTCTGTCCCTCTGGCTCCCACTTGCTCTCTTGAGACATCTAGAGCTTTAAGCTCGCTTACCACTGTGCCCTCTGTGGCTGGCACCCAAGAAATAACAAGCCAAGCTGAAGGGCCACACCAGCTGTCAGGCAGGGCATGAACTTGGTATCCTCCTGCTTCAGCCTCCCAGAGTCCTGGGCTTACAAGCACACACTACCTCTCCCAGCTCCTGCAAGCATTCCTACAACGGACAGCTTTTCAGAGTCTGGTTCATCTTTAAATTCCCAGATTCTAACTTCACTCTTGGAACTCACAGACACTGGATACCGGTTTATTTTGGCATGAATGACATGCAGTTTTCTAATTAAAGAAATCACATGGAAAGAAAGAAAGAAAGATTCAGAGCTGAATATTATCTCTTCATACTTCTGCTCTGCAAGCTTCTCCTGATAAGCTGGGATTCGGTCACTACCCGCTTGGGGGATCCCTCCTGCTTTTCAGGGGCAGATGGCACATCTATTCCTCCATCAACTGGAAAGTGGACTGCTTTCTAATGCTTCACCTGGCTCTTGATCTGCCCTGGTCCAGAGCACAGCACCTTTAGTGTGATCTCTGAACCGAACAGTTTTTTTTTAATTGATTTTTTTAAATTTAAAGTCTAAAATACATATTTAAAAATAATCTTGAAACTATTGAAAGGAACAGTTAGGCTGGATTTTGTTTGCAAATCAACAGAGGCCGCAGTAAGACTGCTGGAGACTCATGTCAATCCAGGACTGGCAATTCTATAGGGTAGGAGGGCCTTGGGTCCCCAAGTCTCAGCGGGACCAGGTGGGGTGTGTGTCAGTTGGTGGGGGTCATCTGTCCGAGGAGCGCTGTCCGCATACCTGGCCTAGTTGTAATTCTTTGCGTAGCTTCAGGGTATACTGAAGTATTTGGGAAAATAAAAGCCGCACCCCCTGCAGACAAAAGGAGAAACAAAACACGTGAAGGTCTTTGGTCGTGGACGCCACTCAGCATCAGCGCCCCATCTCCTTCGCCCGGGATGCTGCAGAAGGAGACCCAGCAGGCACTGGGGTAACAAGCGCCATGGGACAGGCAGGCGTTGCCATACTGCATTTGGGACAGAATCCTGGGGTTGCAGCTCCGTGCATTGCCCACCAGCAATCTCGGTTTACTAAAAAAAATTCTATGGTGCCCCCCCCCAATTGTATAAAAACCTATAAAATAGTTTACAGACCTCTTGGAAAGCAGAACCAAGTTACAATATCTTGCCTAAGACTATATGGATCTTATTAAAAATTAATCCAGGTCTCTTTTCAAACCCACGTTTTTCGCTGTCTCTCTTTCAATCAACTCTCGTATTGTCTGCTGAGAAAACTCCCTTTGCCACCGTCAGCCCCCGGGGGACCTAATGTCCTGTTCTTTGACTACTGCTGTGGTTAACAATGATAAAAGTAAGAAGCCAGGGCCTTTTTCTGAAACTTTCACTCCCTGTTAAAGATTTTTGTAAATTGTGTAAATGAACAGAAAATGTGTGTAGCTCAGATGTGCTTCCTAGTGGGGGGCAATGACTCTGTCTAAGTTACTGGTTATTTCTGGGCTCAGGTTCCTAGCTGGTGATACACACAACATAAGCAGAAAAGGTGTATACCACTGACTTACGTCTTGTGTTTTGTATTATGTGAAAAGCACAAACATGGCAGGTACAGAAGACGGAGACCATATCCAAACTGAGACTCCTTCACTGTGCGTCTTAAAGGGTCAGGGTGAGGATTTGGGAACGACTGTATTTCTCTCTGAGGGCAGCCCAGGAGTCGGCTTGCGGCTTGCCAGGAGTGGCCGAGATTTCCCTGCCGTCGCCACCCTCCTCCCAGCCTGGGTGGCCCGGAGGGTCCCCCAGGAGGCAGCAGATGTCTGCAGTGACTCCCTGGTGGCAGGGAGGAGGGCAGGATGCTCACGGAGAGCACCTTTCGGAGGAGCCAGCCCTGCCTGCCAGCCGAGCGCAGGGGTGACCTTAGCGGGAGGCAGCACTATGTTAAGCCCTACAAGGCCCAGGCACCGTACAGAAACCAAGCTGGGACTGGCGGTTAGGCGGCAAGGGAAGCATTGGTTAGTGACTTCCTTCGGGTCCCCCAGGGCCACAGCGATTTCCCTTGGATCATGAGCTCGCAGGAAAATGATAGACACCCTCCTACTGTCCTTTTGCAAACTACAAGTCTGTGCCAGGTATTAAATAAAGACAAGTCCGATGGCCCACAGGCATATCAGCAAGGAAAAACATAGCTCCCGCTTGTCCTGGTGAACACCCCTTGGGAATCAAAATGGGGCGTGGTGGATGGAGATGACTCAGGGACCTTCCCGACACACATGCTTTGGGTTCCTAAGGTCAGCACAGCAGATGTAAGGGGACAGTAGCAGGAGGCTAATCCAGCAAAGGGAGGCTGCCCATCTGGCTAAATCTGGTGAAAAGGAAACTTCTGGTGGCCTGAGGGGGAGGGGGATGCTCAGACACCAGGAGGGTTTCGCCACCCAGAAGGACCAGTCATGCGTCCACCTCTGTGTGCTTCCTTCTGATGCGACTCGTGGAGGGCTTCACCAGAAAGCAGGTGGCCGCAGCCAGGACCCTAGAGACAGGCCCCTGTCTTACCCTGGGGCGGGCGGGCCCGGCATTACCTGTGTTTCTAGCATGCATTAACCGCGGAGAGTTTTGTAAGGCTTTATCAACATCATCGGAAGTCAAATGTGGAAGAGGAGCTACAAAACAAAACAAAACAGAAAGCAACATCAAAATGAAAAAGAGAGAGAATTACCTTTCAATTTAAAAAACCAAACAAAAAAAAAGAGGAAGACAGAAGAAAAGAAGGAAAGAAGAAAAGACAACACCCCACTGGCCACCCTGATGTCCTGGACTGCTGGAAACATCTGTGCCGCCTGGCTGCTGGTTACTGTGCTAAAACCCCAACAGGGCACCTCTTCCAGGAGAGAAGTGGCTGGGATGTCAGGCAATGCAATCGAGGGGTTCCCTCCCCCCCACTTTCTTTCTCCTCTCCCCTTCCCTCCATGCTTGGCATTGTCCAAATCAACGCATGCAGCAGACGCTCTGGATCCATGCCCCTGCCCGCCACGCTGCCATCCCCCTCCGAGTCAAGCTCAGCCAAGTCTCCTGGTGCCAAGCGGAAACATCTCCCTCATGCCTCAGCCAGGCTGGACAGGAAGGGGTCTCGGCTTAGCTTTGGGGAAGGAACCCAGTAATTCCTACAAAGCTGGTGCCTTTCTGAGCTGCTTCTCTTTCAAGGCAGGGCATCATGAGATTTGTGAGTGTGTGGCCTTTGTCTATGACATTTCCTTTCCTGGTGGCAGAAAACCAAGAGCAGGTCGCCAAGGGCTGGGGTGACCCTTTGGCCTCAGAGAAGAGCCCTGACTGCACCTCAGCTGGGACATGAGCCGTCCACCTGCACCTGTGCTGCAGTGTTCTCACGTCATCCTCTCTAGTCCTGCACAGGACACAGGGTGAAGACAGGAAGACACCGTCTGCAGAAGGCAACTCCAGGAACCCCTGGAGGCTCAGGTCCATGGGGACACAGAAGACAAGCAGGGGTTCCGGGTGAGGGAGACGGGGCTTACTCTCTCTGAGGTAGTGGAGGTGAGAGAGGAGGATGTCGGCGTTGTAGCTCGGAGTGAGCCTCTGGAAGTCGTCCTTGGTCATCTTACACAGCTCCTTCCCATCGATGTTCTGGAACAGTAAGATGTCCACGTCTGGGAGACTGTATTCCTTCACTGCCCACTCCAGCCACTGCCGGACGTGGTCCGTGCTCCACAGGGTAGGGTCTGAAAGGGCAGAGAATACACGCAATCAACTCTTGAATATGAGTTCCTGACAGAGTAGACCCCAGGGGAGGGGGACAGTACCCCAGTCCCAGAGCATCCCACAGAAGTGCCAGTTGCAGGGCAGGCTCAGCCACTGCTCCAAAGCGGGTGTCCTGGGGAAGAGAGAAAAATCAAGTTGCATACAGCCATCGGTGCCTTCAGGGGAGGATCATTCCATCATAAATGTCTTCTGCGGCTCAGAGACATTTTCCTGAAAGGATCCGGCCTTTTCAATTCTGTATTCTAACGTAACTGTTAAAATATGCATGAAAATACAAGAGAATTTTCTTTCCTTAAACAACTACTGGTATATTTATGTGAAAAGAAAAGTTAATCGGACATGTGGTGTACACCTGACATCTCACACACTCGGAGGCTGAGGCAGGAAGACGGCAAATTCAAGCCCAGCCTGGACAATATAGCAATATAGAGAAATCTTGTCTCAAAACAAACAAAATAAATGAATATGGTTGCAGATGTAGCTCAGCACAAAAGCCATGGGTGGAATCCCCAGCATCATAAGAAAAAAGTGAATGCCAGACATGGTGGCACACACCTGTAATTCCAGCATTCCAAGGCTGAGGCAGGAGGATCACTGTGAGCTTGAGACCAGCCTGGGCTACACAGTGAGTTCAAGGCCAGCCTGAACTGCAGAATAAGACCATGTGTCCAAAACGAATTATTTCAAGTCTAGCAGAACTGCTCACCACATTCCATTCTCCTCCTGACAACCAGAAGCCGTTGCTCTCCTGAAGCAGGTGTGTGCCCCCTTCCTGTACATATTCCAATACTCCTCACCGCAGCTTGCCAGGCTGTCTGTAGTTTTAAAGTTAACATCTGTCATGCCTTGGGCACTCACACTCTGTTTTCAAGATGCAGCCAAGTTCATTCAGGCAGATATAGTCTGCCAGCAAGAAGTCGTAGGCTTCCCTACAGGAAGGAGCCAGTTCCTGGGGGGTGGCAGTGGAGGTACTGGCTTCTGGTCGACTGGCTACTGGGCCAGTCTGCGCTGGCCCACAGCTTTGGGACCCCATGGGGAGGCTGAACAACTATACATGCCTGGTCTCAAGGGGTGATGCTGGATTGTTAGGGTGTGAGAAACTTCCTTGGCGATTTTATTGTGAAGCTGTTACGGCTTAGACCAAGAGTGCCCCCTTAAGCCTCATTTGTTCAGAGGCAAGGTTGGAAGGTGACTGACTTGTGGGGCTGCTGCAGCTGACTTGCTGTTGCTCTGAGTGGCAGAGGCGGGCACCAGAGTGTGACCAGCGGGGTTATCTTCTTCTCCAGCTCCTCCCTGCCCTCTCTGCTTCCTGGCTGCTGTGGTGTACCTAGATTTCCTCTCCAGATCTTTCCACCCTGCCTTTTCTGACGTGGAGCAGGTGACCATGGCCTAAAACCATGAGCCAAAATGAACCTTTGTTTATAAATTGTGGATGTCTGGTGTTTTGTCCTTGTGACTAAGCCAGCAGCCCAGGTTCAGCCCACCTGAGCAGGGCTCATGGCTCACAGTGAGGCCCTCCACCCTGACAGCCCCCGATTTCCCTGGAAATGCAGACTCGGAAACACGCTGAGCCAGCGCCCACTTCACTTTACCACTTCCATACACCCCGGGAAGCTGGGAGCTGGGGCAGTACCAGGACACGGTAGGCACATGGGGCGACTTGACTCCTGAGGATTGGGGTTCAAGTTGCACAGCCAGTCACCCAAAAGCAATGGGCCAAGCATGGGAAGTGAACACTAAAGGATTTTCTGCAACGAAAATATGAAGAGAACAGTGGTGTTATAGAAAGGTGCAAACGCACTGCAGTCCAAACACTTGGGAACACTTCCTTAGTTCTTGAAAACTGCCCGTGTCTCTGGAATGCTCAGGGGGTCCAGTCCAGCCCCAGGATGTTCCGTGTGCTCTTTGGCTTTGGCTTAGGATTTTGCTTTCATGTGTTAAGTGCTCAAAATGCCAGACTGCCCTCATAGATTGGTTTTGGTTTTCTGCTTCTTTTTGAAATGGCATCTCGAGATTCTTTCTTATGCACAAACAGATTATATCAAGGATGTAGAAAACTCTTAATTCAACTACTCTTTAGCTTAGCTTCTGAGCCGAGGGCTGTTTAAACACACTCACAGACAGACAGAAACCCATGTTCTCCTCAGTCTGGCCCGAGTGTGTCCAGGAAAGTTCAGCTCCTGGAATTAGCCACGACTCCTCCTTTGTTTGTTTTGCTTTGCTCACCAACATGAAATCTGTTTGAGGGTGTTACTATTTCCCAAAACCAACTCATTCTAGAAATGGATTCTCTTCTCTGTAGGGCAGAACCTGAGAATCTCAAGATGGGAATAAACAAAAAGTTTTGCAAAGTCACCAGCTCTGTGTTTCATGATGACATGACATCTTAGGAAGCCAATACAAACGGGACATCTAACCCAGAACCACTTGGTCAACTCCTTCATTGATGCTCTCTGCTAACCCAGGGTCGTCGTGGCTCTCCAATAATTCTTAATGAATGTATGTGCGTGATTCGAAACCAATTTCTCAGCCTGTAATGTCCTTACCTCTAAAATTCTCACTTCTGGCTGGTGAAAGAAATGCCATTCTGGATCATCGCCACTCTAGGTGTAAATCACTCCAACTTTTCTGATAAACAACTCACCCACACATTTCAAATGTCTTTAAAAATGTGCAAAGCTCCTGGCTTGAAAATTCCACTTCTGGAAATTTATCCTAAATAAATAACAGGATGTGCATAATGATTTCTTTTTAAGGATGTTTTTGGTAGTGTTTACAATAGCAAAACATTGGAAACACCCTAAGGGCCCTAAAAGAGAGAAACAGTTAAGTTTCCGTGGGTTTAGGAATGCTGCTGGAAGATTCAGAAACTAAAAGTTACCTTGCTGAAATGTATTTATTTATAAGAAGAGCATGTTCAATGTACAGTTATTTTGCTCCCTTCAGATCTCAAATTTCAGGGATACACAAGTCTCTTCTATAAGATAGTGTACTTTTTGCACACAACCTATGTAGGTCCTTGTATAATACTGTCAGTTGTATCCAGGTTACTTATAACACCTAATATAATGCAGATGCTAGGTAAATAGCTGATATGCTACATGGTTGATGGAATGATGACAAGAAAAAAAGTACCCACACATTCAGCATGGATACATTTTTTTCTGAATATTTTCAACACGTGGTTGGTTGGGCCCACAGACATGGAACTCATGGGTTTAGAGAAATGGCTGCACACAAAAGTATTTTCACACAATTTCCTTCAGGGGCGTAGGAATTTAGTCTCACTTGCTTTTGCATTTTAATAACCGAAATTGCTTCATTTGGAAAAATAAAATTACATAAAGCCTAGCCACTCTCCTCTTTTGGGGGCTGATAACCACCCCTGCCCTGTACGTTCATAACCAGACCCTGTTACAAGCACAGCGCACTACAGTAGAAAAAATGAGGGTGTCTTTCTCCAACAGTCCGTGGGCGCCACTCGAAAATCAACTTGCAGGGACATTCCCAGCCCCTCAGTGTGCCACATGTGACTCAGAGCTTGCTGGACTCCGCCATCCTCGTGGGTCATCCCGTCCTACACCCACTCGCCCAGGGTGTTCTCACTGCGTAGACCCTCTGAGGAATCTCTGAGTGGGGGGCGCCCAGAGGTGCTGAAGCCCCGGACCCTGGTATGCAGTGTGGTCCATTCTGAGCTCCCCTGGGGGTCAGATCAGAGTATCAAGGCCCAGGTACCATGCTTCTGTCCCAGTTCACCTCTCATCTCCAGAGAGCTCAGGGGAGTCTCTGCTTTCCTCCTTGGCTCACAACCCCTCAGGACACCTTTCCTGCCTCATTCTACCTCGCTGTCATAGACAGGGGCTCACGAGGGCTCACAAAATCCAGCAGGCATTATCTTCTTCCTCAGTCCCAGCTACACAAATAAAGGAGCAAGGGGAGGAGACAGCAGAATGCACCCAGCCCGTGTGTCACCAATGCCCGGGTGCAGGTGTGGCATGGCACTGGGGCTAAGGCTCCTACAGCCTGTAGGGGGCCATGTAGCTTGGGACCTGTCACATGGCCTTATGATTCCTCTCGTACGAAACTGTGTACAGAACTTCAGGACCTGAGGAAACTGCAGAAGGCAGCGCCCATAACACAGAGAAAGGCAAGATCCACAGAGGAAGTGACATGAAAGGACACAGAAGCAGCGGCCACTCCTGCCAGGAAACAAGCAAGCATCTTCAGGAGGGTCGGGCTGAGCTGGGATTTCAGCCACCAGAAGGCGTCTGACAGAAGCAGAAAGGCAAGGTTCCCTGGAGCAGCTCCGCCCTTCTCGCCCAGAGGCACAAAGGGCCCATTTCGTGGAGGGAAGGTAAGGGATGCACAAGGCGCTGGGTGCGGGGACCACAGCCACACAGAAGGACGGAGACGCAGGCTGGGTCAGTCAGGGAGGCCCAAGAATCCTGCTAACAGGGCTGAGCTTTACTACTGCACTGGTCATTTCCTCTCACTGCGACAAAAACCCTAACGCTTGCCATTGCAAAGAGAGGTTTATTTTGGCTCATGGTTTCAGAAGATGCAGTCCGTAGTTGGTTGGCTCCAAAGCAGAAATGGCATGGCAGAGGGGTACGGTGGAGGACAGCTGCTCACGTGATACCAGCCAAGAAGCAGGGAGAGAAGGCGGGAGCCCAAACAAGAGTACATCCTGCCAGCCACGGCCCCCACAGACCACTGCCGAGCAGGCCACGCCTTCTGACATCCCACTCAGCCCTGAACTCATCAATCCTTGAGTCCACGGATGACTACAGCCCTCCGTGAACAAATGGATGGAGGACATTCTCTGTCTAAACCCTCACAATTATACAGAAATGGCAACATCAGAGATTTCTGAGAAATCAAAAAAATGTCTTAAATGACATCAAGCCCAGAAAACGTGGGGATGAAAGCACAGGGCTTTATTGGAAATGAGAACACCCAT